CAATACTAATTTCATTTATTATATATCTCAATCAAAAACCATAAATTTTGATAAAAAGCTAAATATCAATTTATAAGCACTTATGGATAATTAAATTATTTATGGTCGGATAAAATTTGTAAGATATATCATTTTAAGAAAGGAAAGAATTTAGATGGTGAAAATTTGTTCAAATGTGTGATATAGAATAGATAATGATTTAGAACCGATATTATACAACTTAATTGAAAATCAATGTTATTGATAATCAGTTTGTGGAGTTGAGGCATCCTAAAAATAAAAAAAAAATTAAATAATATTTCTAACTGGATTAACTTAAAAAAGGATGAAATTTGGATAAAATAGGTAAACCATCTTACCAAAAGAAGATTAAATCTCCCAATCTAATTCAAAAAGAGATTATTAATGAAGAAGTTCACTATTGGAATTTATCTATATATGTACTAAAAGGTACTTAATATAGTTCTTCTCACATTGTAGCACTATTTCAAAGAAGTTAAACCAGCATGAACAACAAAAAGTTTTATGGTTTTGGGAGAAAAAGTTATTAATGGATAAATAACACTAGTTATGGTTCTAAAAACTGAAGAATAGTTAAAGCATATTAGAAGAGGAGATAAATATTAGTTGACCAATGTATTATTTCTTATAAGATTGCCTATATAACTTGATTTGGAATAAATATTTTCAATAAGTTTGACACGATAAGTTAGTAGATGCGAAATAAGCATATCCTGAAAAGATGATGAATAAAAAGACTTTTTATCAGATCATTTCATTAAAAAGAATTCCTCTTTGCATATTAATTTAGTGATTTTAAATAATCTACAAACTGATTAATTCGAATTTATTATAAAGGAACTATAATCTACTCTGATGAGATTGTCCTTAGTGCCTTACTCGTTATCTAAGGGAATAGGAGAGTCTAGCTAATTTAATGGTTTTGAATCGATGTAAAATACTTGAAAGATTCCAATAAAAAAGTTTAATAGGTCTATATAACCTTTATAATAATTGATAAATTTTCTAAAAAGTCTAGAAATTGAAATAGATAAAATTTTAAATTTAGTAACAGAAACATGATACACAAATTAATAGATTACAAAGTAATGATTTGATTTTGTAATGATTCAACATATTTACTATATCTATTTTAATCATGTTTTCTAAGAATTCCTAAACCTCTTTCAGTTTTTCCTCAATCATTTCAATAACTTTCTAAAATCCAATATTATTTAATTTTGTTTCATAATATTTATGCATTCTTTATCAAATAAATTATAATGAAAAAAGAAATAATGAGGAAATTCAACAATCATAAATAAAATATTTAAATTAAAAAACTTAACTTATTTTATTTCTAGTTTATAAGCCTCTTTTTTATCTAAATATTAACTCAACTTTTTTTAAATTCAAATTAATATTAAATTGATAAATTGACTATGATGATTTTCATTATCNCAATACTAATTTCATTTATTATATATCTCAATCAAAAACCATAAATTTTGATAAAAAGCTAAATATCAATTTATAAGCACTTATGGATAATTAAATTATTTATGGTCGGATAAAATTTGTAAGATATATCATTTTAAGAAAGGAAAGAATTTAGATGGTGAAAATTTGTTCAAATGTGTGATATAGAATAGATAATGATTTAGAACCGATATTATACAACTTAATTGAAAATCAATGTTATTGATAATCAGTTTGTGGAGTTGAGGCATCCTAAAAATAAAAAAAAAATTAAATAATATTTCTAACTGGATTAACTTAAAAAAGGATGAAATTTGGATAAAATAGGTAAACCATCTTACCAAAAGAAGATTAAATCTCCCAATCTAATTCAAAAAGAGATTATTAATGAAGAAGTTCACTATTGGAATTTATCTATATATGTACTAAAAGGTACTTAATATAGTTCTTCTCACATTGTAGCACTATTTCAAAGAAGTTAAACCAGCATGAACAACAAAAAGTTTTATGGTTTTGGGAGAAAAAGTTATTAATGGATAAATAACACTAGTTATGGTTCTAAAAACTGAAGAATAGTTAAAGCATATTAGAAGAGGAGATAAATATTAGTTGACCAATGTATTATTTCTTATAAGATTGCCTATATAACTTGATTTGGAATAAATATTTTCAATAAGTTTGACACGATAAGTTAGTAGATGCGAAATAAGCATATCCTGAAAAGATGATGAATAAAAAGACTTTTTATCAGATCATTTCATTAAAAAGAATTCCTCTTTGCATATTAATTTAGTGATTTTAAATAATCTACAAACTGATTAATTCGAATTTATTATAAAGGAACTATAATCTACTCTGATGAGATTGTCCTTAGTGCCTTACTCGTTATCTAAGGGAATAGGAGAGTCTAGCTAATTTAATGGTTTTGAATCGATGTAAAATACTTGAAAGATTCCAATAAAAAAGTTTAATAGGTCTATATAACCTTTATAATAATTGATAAATTTTCTAAAAAGTCTAGAAATTGAAATAGATAAAATTTTAAATTTAGTAACAGAAACATGATACACAAATTAATAGATTACAAAGTAATGATTTGATTTTGTAATGATTCAACATATTTACTATATCTATTTTAATCATGTTTTCTAAGAATTCCTAAACCTCTTTCAGTTTTTCCTCAATCATTTCAATAACTTTCTAAAATCCAATATTATTTAATTTTGTTTCATAATATTTATGCATTCTTTATCAAATAAATTATAATGAAAAAAGAAATAATGAGGAAATTCAACAATCATAAATAAAATATTTAAATTAAAAAACTTAACTTATTTTATTTCTAGTTTATAAGCCTCTTTTTTATCTAAATATTAACTCAACTTTTTTTAAATTCAAATTAATATTAAATTGATAAATTGACTATGATGATTTTCATTATC